AACGATTTTATAGGATTTAAATATTGAAATTTTTTTTAGCTGTACTTTTTTTATTTTTTATTATATTGGTTTCTTTTTTTGAATAGGCAGGCAATGACTTGTAATTGTTTTTTTCTATAAAATATAAAAATAGAATTTAGGAGAATGGATAAGGGATTTTAAAAAGAGGATGTCTAGTATATAAAAACTAGGAAGGAGGGAAGAAATAAAGCATAATGAAGCATGGAAGATTATTCGATGGAAGATATAAAACTTAGCTGATCGTTTTTTTCACGAATCTATGTGCCCAATTCTTTTTAAAATTAGATTTTTTAAAATCAGTTGTTTTTCAGTCATTTTTTAAAAAAATATTAAAATCGGTTTAATTATGGCTTTCCGATATATCAAATGGGCGGATATCTTTTTAAAGTACGAGAAAAAATTTTTTGAGATGATAGGAAAGTTTATATGAGTTATAAATTTTCCCGGGAATTTTACATCTATAGTTATAAGTCCATATAAATATGATATTGGTAATCTCGTGTCTCCTTATAAATCTTATCACCTCTAAAAATAAACCTTAATTCTTGTAATTTAAGTTATGGATTTGCTCAATCAGAGATCAGCAGAGGTACCATCTTCACGGTCCGGTCCTGCTAAGATTTTTTCAAAAAATTTTTCGGCCCGGCCCGGTTTTTTTAAATAAAAATTTTAGGTCCGGTCCGGATTTTTTAAAAATATATTTTATTTATTTTTATTTTATATAGCTAATAATGGTGATTTCAAATATTTGGTTTTAAAATATATGGCCCGGCGATATTTTTTTTTTAAAAATTTTCAGACCCGACCCGGGTATATTTAAAAAAAATTAAAATCCTAGGCTGTGCTTAGGGCCGGGCCTGCAGGTCTCTCTCAGTACAACTATAATACTTGATATAAGAATTGAACGTGAACAAAGATTTATTTAGTAAAACAAATAATCAAAATTAAATTATATAAAAAGAAAGAGTTAATTCAAAAAGTGATCCTTCGTATAGTATTTTTCATATTCATATATTCAATCAATTTAATATATATTATAATTTAGCAAAATGAAACTTAATATATAAATATACAATTATGTTAACTTATAACAAAAATATAGATATATAATATTACTACATTAATTAAAGTAAAATCAATAGAGTCCAAGATTTTTGAGTAGAATAGGTTTTTAGAAATTAAAATTTTATAATTTGCTTCTTACCTTGCATCACAATCAAATAAAAGTTTATAAATAACTAGCCAACGTTATCCATTACAAAAAAAAGGGAATGACATATAGTGATGAATTATGCATGATAGCAAATCACAAATATATCTTTAAGTTGTTGCCAGCTAATATATTTTTTTGAAAGTGAGTAAAACTCAACATTAATAACGCCGTCTATCATTCCGAGTTCTGGGATTAACGGATGATTCAAGCTATTACAAATTCACGTCTTTTTGAGACTCATTTAATTAGTAGCTCAACTAAAACCACAAATCTAAATTAACTAAAGTAAAAATAACCAAAAAGTAACGGAAATTCGCTCTTTATTCTTTATTTTCTCATCTTATATATTCGCGAATATTTTTAATTATTCGTGACGGACGATAATTTTATATTTAATAATAATCATTCTTTATTAATAATTTTCTATAATCAAAAAAAAATATATTAAATTAATAATCTTCGTTAATTATGAATATGAAAATAATAATCTTGCCAAATAACAATGACCTGACATCAAATATAGATAATATACATATATGTAATAGTAGCAATTTATTTTTTTCAGTCGAATGTCTTTTCCTGAAGCCAAACTTTTTAGGTTCTTTCACAGCCCGTCGCAGAAACGGTGATTCTTCATTATCCTAAAAACATAAGTAACAATTTAAACTCCATTAGCCGTCAATAGGGTTTGCCACTCTTCCACCGCGTCGAAGTAATATTTTTGGGAAGATACAAGTTATTTATTGATGTATATCATATATTGAATATGCTTCCGAACATTTTGTTGTTGCCTGGGTTAGATAAAAAATATTTTAAAATACAGATGATACTTACAATACTTATTAATGTTAGCAATGTATTTATATTGCCATACTCAAAGATATTAATTGTCAAGTGTATATAGCAATGTAGGTAATTAAAAAGCGGCATAACGGAGATTCTCTTCCAAATTTAATAAGTATATTTATCGATGAGCATTATTTATCATCCTTCTTTTTAACAAATATAAGAGCATTCAATTCTGCACACAAGAAATTATTCACTACTCATTCGAGACCTTCATAGACCTAGATTTTAGGACCAAGCCCAGCCCAGGCCCATCGTAAAAAAATTTTAAGCCCAGACCCAGCCCGTTTTTAATATTTAAAAAAATTCCCAAGCCCGCTATAATATTTAAAAAATTTCCCAAGCCGGACCAAGCCCATATAATTAATTTGTGTATACTAAACTTATGCTGAAGTAATACTAATAGAAATATAATATTTTATTTAGTAATAATATATATATATAATATTAATAAATGATATAAACAAAATTTTAATTTATATTTTCAAATTATCATTTTAAAATAATATATTATCAACAATTTCGTTATTTAAATTTGTTCTTCTTTCTTCAATAACCCTTCCAATAGTACTGAAATTCCGTTCACTGGAAACATTAGATGCTGGAATTGCATGAATTTTTTTGGCTAATCTGGCCAATTTTGGCAAGATTTTTTCATGCTTTTTCCACCAATCTAGGATGCAGTCATCATAGTTGATATCCTTTTCATTTAGCTGAATATCCATATATAAATTAATCTCATCAGCATCCGTCTCATTATGAAGTGCTAAAAAGATTTATAAAGAATAAATTACTGGTAGCTCTAGTAATCCTCGAAGTAGGAATAGGAACATGCACATGCACTTCATCCAGATCTGAAGAATCTAAAAATATTATATAGATAAAGATATTTATAAAATATATGTTACTTGAAGCTCTAGGGATATTTGCTTCATCTAGATCATATATAGGAATTGGATGATGATCTGAATAATCAATCATTAGGGCCCTTGTAGTATTTTTTACATCAAGTGCTTCTTCCAAAGTAAGCATTTTTAACTGGCGGAATTTAGGATTTAAAAATGTAGCGATTTTGTGTAAAATATCTATTTGGAATTTTGATATTAAAAATTCCTTTGCTCTTAATATTTTATTTTTCTAATTTCACTATTATTTTGATACGCTTCGTATAAAATATCAGACACTGGTAACTTTTCCAATGTTTTATAAATTAATAAAACTTTAAATAATGTAGAACTTCTATCTCCTTCCAGCTCCTTGGTTGCCTGATCATATGAGGTCAACATGTCTATTAATGATTTCAACCCATTTTTATCAATAGAATTAAGCTTATCCTCCATATTTCTTTTCTGTAAACAATCTAAAATTTCTGAACATTTTTGGGAATATTCCCTGATTTTCGCTGTTTCGTGCCTAGGCCGTTGTGTTAAGTTAAGTAAAATTATACCAATTTCCGATTTAAAAAATATATACTCTCCCAAGGTGTATAGGAAATTTGATAAATAACACTAATAAAACCAGAATGATTTGTTATATTTGTCCTATTAAATATCCTTAAAATAAGCTAAATTTGAATTTAAAAATTTAGGCCCAAGCCCGGCCCAAGCCATATTGCAAAAATTTCCTACGAACTCAAGCCCGGTCCAGGCCCGCTAGAAAATTTATAATTAGGCCCAAGCCCGGCACATGAAGGTCTCTACTACTCATTTGCTTCAAAATTTATGAATTTTTCTATAATTTTTCACCATTCCACATTTTTGCACTGTAGAAGGCGCAAATTTTTGTCACGTGGCCGATATCTAACATAGGTGAATGGTGATCATTAAATATATATCGAAATATGCGTAGTAGAGGTAGTGTAGAGATTGCGGTATTGGTGATAGAAGAAATATTATTTGGAGGCAATTGGATAAATATATATGGATATAATTGTTTAATCCAACCATAAATAGAATAAACATGTACAATATTTTTTTTAATGTAGAGGCTATGAATATAATAATGAATAACATTATGTCGAGATCGGTGTATTTTTTGTTTAAGGTGATCTTTAGCTCGTTTGATTTATTGATTTAAGCGCCATTTTTCTCCTCGCTTATCTTTATATAGTGATAAAAATAATTTGGTGCAATATGAGAGAGCAAGGCAGTGCTAGTCTAGAAAATTAAAGACAATATGCTATAATAATACTAATAGAAGTATGATAATTTAGTAATTGTATAATATTAAGAATGAACAGTAACTTCAGTGTATTTAGGCAATCATTTTGTTTCAATGCTGATATTTATTATAAGAGGAAAATTGCAATATTTATTTTAGTTAGCAACTGTTTGAAATGTCGAATTTCAATGAAGTGAGAACAATAGTAGAATGCGGTTATGGATAAATAAATAATTTGTTATATTTGTCTTATTAAATATCCATAAAATAAGCTAAATTTAACTGAAAAAATTTAAGCCCAATCCCATCAATTTTTTTTTCTTCAAAAATTCATGCTAAAAAATATAACATTAAGTCCATATCCTAAGTGCCTGCGAGCAGGTCTCTGCATGCAAGATACAAATGACGTCAAAATAAAATATTGTAACTGGGAAATAGTTTACGATTTATCAATGCCCAAATATCATGAAGTCTAAAGCAGCCGATGATGTCCGTTGATTCGACCAGTATTCAAATTTGGCTACTTTATATTATCAAAAATAATACATCTTATTTGTTTAATATAATTAATTTAAACATTTTTAATCGAAAATTAACTCAACAAATATGATCAAACTTCTCTATTAACATCCAATTTCAGCTTTATAAGCCAAATAGAACGAACAAACTTTGTTCAATATCCTTTTTTTATTACTTTATTTTTCTTTTAATCTGTTTTGAATCCGTATAAAAAAAATTTTTTTAATAATTTATTTTGTTATAATATAGTATAAATAAATAACTATTCTTCCTTTTAAACCTCCTTATTTGTGGATATAAAAAAAATTAATTTATAAAAGAAAATATTATATATTATCATTTATCAGTATTAATAATCAATAGATTGTCTAATAAATTAAAATAAAATACCGATCATATTATAATAAAAAAAATAAATATAATTTATATAAAACAATTCAAAACTTATTCAATTAAACTGATTGTTCAAAAATAAAAAATGGGGAGGGGGGAGGGGAGGAAGGTGTAGACTAAAATATCCCACGTTTTTATATCTTAAAAAGGGTTTTTTTCTAAAAAAAAATAGTGAATATTTTCGTTGTTTTGTTTTCAGTTTTTGTTAAGAATCGAATGAGCCGCTTCTTCCTCCACACAAGCTTTCCAGGCTTTAACGTTCTGATATACGAGTATATTAAAATAAAATGGTCATATGAATTAAAATTATAGGGTCATCCACTATTTTTTCGATAAATAAATTCTTCAATACGTATATTCTTATACATCCACAATAAAAATTAAATATAATTTAGAGTGATCCTTAATTCGAATTATTGTTGCAATTGTGATATCCTATCTAAAATACAATAAATACTTTTTTTAAATGCTCTCTTGAACAATTTAAAAAAATGGATAAGCCGATGTTATCTCAGAGAAAAACAAAAGGTATAAAACTTTTTAAAAAGACTGTGAAGAGGCTAAAAACACGTTTTTTTGTTATAGTGGTAAAAGAAAATAGTCTTTGATATCATTTGATAAAAGGGGGGAGGGGTAGTAACCTATAACTTATATACCTGAGAATATAAATCAATATACAAATCCGCTAAATCAACGAAATACGCTTTCATATCCTTGACAAGGTTGCAGCGAAACACTTTGAAATCTTCTAGGAATTGTGAATCGGCTTTTGCGGAAGCTAATTGATTGCGTTCAATCTAATCCGTGATATATCATAATAATCAAGAATATCATTTTTTTAAAAACAATATTTAGATACCACCCGTATACAATTGCATTTCTAATTCCATTTTCAATTATATTTTAAATATTATTATACTGACCATTTTGAAAATAATAAGTGTCACCATGAAATTTTGTTTAACGACGCTAATCAAAATTTTAAATTTTTTTAATACTTCTCTCTCCAATGCGCTCATGTGCATCTGCGATCTGGCTCGATTAAAATCCTTGAGGATCATAGAATCTCTCTCGGCAGCGCGTAACGCGTCAATATTCTTATCACCGGATAATTTATCATGGCCCATATTTATCGATTTCACGCCATTTTTGTATTCTGCACTTTCCTTACAAATCCCATCATTACTGTCGGCTTTGGAATCGGTATTATTATTAGAAACGTTGTTGTCACAATTATCGCACTTGTTTAAAAGAGTTTTGAAGTTGAGGCCGGAGAGCAAATCTTTCAATCGTTGATTCCGAGCATAATTTCCCATTTTCTGAAGATTTTTTTTAAAAAAAATACAAATATGTGTGATTCATCATGTCCCCTGATTCGGTCATGAGTGGGGTGGTTAAAAGATTTAATCTTAAAAAGAATTTTGGATTAAATTTGGCTTCGCTCTGTGACACAAATTAGAGTTGTAATGTAACATTAGCGAATGTTACCGGAACGAAGACCAATATTAAAAGATAGAAGTAAAATATAATAAAAATATTTATTATTTTTAAAACATTTTATTTCATCTAATGCCAGGTTAAAATTTAAATTTATAAATGTGCTGTAACATAACTGCATATAAAAGAATAAATTCCAGCGGTCAGATCTGTTGTGAACCTATTTTTCAAAATTGCTAAACTCCTACAACTAAAAAATACGAAATAGTAGGTATGTATATTTTTGACATATAAATGAGGTCACCTATTATAATAATAATAATTTTTCGTCTAAAAGAAAAAGTTGTCAATTTAAAAAAACCTAACTATTGCAATAAACGAAAAAGGAAAGAAATTATATAGATTCATATTAAATTTTCTTCGTCTTCATCTTTACCCCATCCTGGAAGGATTTAGTTTAAAAATAAAGAGTTTTGGAAGATTCTCCTTATTTTCTAAAATCTCGAAAATGATATCTACCATCTTTAAATAAAAAAAAGAAACTCTTATCTTGCTTTTTTTTCTTTTAAAGATTTATGGATTACACTAAATTCCTTAAAATTTGAAATGATATGATGATCCGAATAATTAACTCCCTCAGGCTTTGAACTAAACTTATTATTGATAGTTTCGCGTCTTGCAGCACGAATTCTCTGCGGTCTAGAGCTGAAATCAATATATTATAGGTACACATCGATATATTAATTCCAAAACTCTTCTACGGTAGTGCGACAACTTGGCTAGAGTTAATTTAGCGCATCATTCAAGTATTTATTTAAAAAATTCAAAAACTTTGTAATGATAAAGTAAATATTTATTATCTCTTTTTTTTTAATTCTCTCCTCCATCATAATTTAATACAATATTTTACTATAAAACATGAAAGCCCTCTTAGCCTGTACGTAGTTATATGGCGAAATTCGGCAAAACATTTATATTTGTTAATCCATGATACCAATTCAGATATAGATTCTATTTGTCTTTAATCATTGACCAAAAAATGTATATCAATAGGAATCGATGTATTTTCAATTAGACGATATTTTTTAAAGCTTAAGTCGTATTTTTTTATATAGAAATTTGTCATAATTGTTCTATAGATATTATTTTTAATTGATTTTAATTTTAGAAATTAAAAATACATTTTCATAATTGTCTTCCCCAAAAAGAAACCATAATTATATCTAAAAATTCTTTAGTTGCATTGGCGAAAAGCCGATCTTTTTGTCTAGATTTTTTTAAAAACTTATAGGTTTTGGGGATCACAATTATGAAATTGTATTATTAATATTACAGTGTTTTAAATATTATGATAGAAATTTCTAATAAATTTTATAAATTTATTTCTACAGATAAAAAAATTAGTAACTAATCCAAATTTAAATGAACATAAGAAAATTGTATATTTTAAATACAAACGTAACAAAACCAAAAAAAATGGCAATGAATCAGAGACCTTCAATTTTGAGGCCCAGCTTGAGCTCCGCACTAAAAAAAATTTAGGCTTAGGCCTAGGCCTAAAACGAATTATTTGTTATTCGAAATTCGATTCGATTCGTATTTTACGAATACGAATAGCACAATTATTCGATTCGAAATTTCGAATCGAATATGAATAATGAGGAAAATTATTCGTATTATTCGAAATTATTTATATATAAATATTCGTATTCGCAAATATTTTATTTGTATTTGTAAATTGTTGTAAGTATAATAAAAAAAGAAGTAATTAAATATTCCTAGTGGATATCATTTCATTTTATTTTATTTCCTATTATCTTTATCAAATCCATAACTTATATTAATTGCTGTCAAATTTTAATGGAAGAAAAGGAAAAGCCCCAAACCCAAAGTAAACAAAAATATAATTATTTTATTTTGATACTTTCTCTTTATTTAATCATTTTTGGTGTTAAGATTCCTGGCTAAGCCACTGCAATTAAAATCAAAATATTATTGTTAGTGATTGTGGCAATGTAATTAATAGTGATGAAGATTTAATGATAGTGATTATGATACACTATCTGAATTAGATGATTTACTTTAAAATTTGATAAAAAATAAGGTTACTAAATGGGAAAAGAATTTTCCTAATCAAAGAATAAGAACTAGTCAAGAAAATTTAGTTATTTATCTGCCAGGAACTTAAGAATATGATGTCTCTGAAAGAGGATACTATAAGAAAGACGTTATGTTTAAAAAATTGGTTATTACAAATTCAGATATACTACAATTATATTTTTTGTGTATTATATTTTGATGTTTATAAAATGAAATTATAGTATATTTTCAGAATATTTTAATAAAATTTGTATATTAGATTGAAGAAATAATTTAAATATTTTTTATAAGCAATTCTAATCTATAAATTGGACGTTTTTTGCCAATTTGTTTGGATAACGTTATATGAAATCATTTGGTTTTATTTCGTTTATTTCCTGTAAATTGTTGTTGAGAGAATCCTTAAAAATGTCATCTTAAAACATTATATCTGTTTATAATTTTTTATAAGCTTTATAAAAATTTTCGAATCGAATCGAATATTGGACGAATCGAAACGAATAATGATTTTATTATTCGTACGAATACGAATAGCGCAATTATTCGATTCGTTTTTTTGTAGGCCTAATTAGGCCTGATCCATAATTAATATTTTAAAAAAATTCCCAAGCCCAGCCTAAGCCCGGCTCTCATATCAAAAATTTTATTTATTGTATTTAATGAAAATCAACAATATTCCAGTTTTTTTTTATCAATCTTTTTGTTTGAAATAAAAAAAATTTATTATTAGGAAAATTGCAATATCTTTTTAAGTTAGCAAGTAATTTAAATAATCCAAATTTAAATTTAAAAAATTCAAGCTCCCTAGCCCAAGCCTATTAGAAATAATTTTCAATAACCGTGGTACTTATGCCTGTCTCTGTATTGAGTATTAAAATAATAAAAGAGAAATATAAGGATTAAAGAAAGTTAATAAAACAAAAATGAGAGGGTGGAGGAGTTCTAATCATCTGGAGCAATTGATTTAATTTAAAAAACACATAATTCGTCATAAGGATAGCTATTGCTATCCAGAGGTTTTCGCACGTTTCCCCAAAATTTTTTCTGATTTAACGACAGACGTCTGAAGAAGTTCCATAAAAAATAGAACTGATTACGAATAAATAACTTGATAAATTAGTTGTATTTGACAATTTTTAAATATAAAAATTTTGTAAAAAAATATATATAAAAATTTTAAAGAGAAATGGGATGATCAATACAAACAGCAAATCAACAAGCAATGTTCAACCAACGACGTGCAACCAACGATAATCAGATGGTCAAACAAACAATCTAAAGATATACAAACAAATGACTAATGGAGCAATTGAGAAAAAAATGTCTGGAAGTGAAGATGAGAAACTGAGGAAAGAAGACATTTAAAAAAGAGGGAAATGTTAATATATAAATTTTGCATAAACTTTATATATTTTAATAACCTTTGAAATTTATATTTTCTTAATTTCTTTTAAATTTATTTAATGACCTTTTTTTCTTTTTGTGAAATATATTTAGTGCGACCTTTAAAAAAAGATATCGTATTTGTATATGTAAAACGTTAAAATAACTTTTCTTAAAGTAACCTTAAAACAAATTGTAAATTGTAACTTTTCTTAAAGTAACCTTAAAACAAATTGTAAATTGTATATATGTAAATAGTATTAAAATAATAATATATATAGTTGTAAAATTTTTTTAGTAGCGATAGAAATAAAAGATTTTAAAAATGAATTTTAAATAATATCAGTCTTGCCTCTCCTGCCTTCGATGTAATCAAAATGGTGGCAGCATACTTATTAATCATTACATTATCTATGGAAACAATTATAAAAAGATTTTTAACAATAATAAAAGAGATTTTTCTTATACATTTGAATCTAAGACTATAATTATGATACGATATGATAGATTGGATGACATGCAACAAGCTTATGAACTTATAAACGGAAAGGAGTACATTGATACGAATGGGAGATTGTTTACACTAAAGGCTAAAAGATATCAGAGACACTAAAAAAATTATCAACATTAATCGTATTGTATTTGTATAAATATATATAATAAATTATAGTTATATTGATGTAACATAATAAAATATAATGAAACCTCTAGTTAACGTAAAAAATACTATAATTGAATGCCCTATTTTTAATAATAATGTTGAGGTTTTTTAAAAAAAAGATAATACATTTAAGGATCCGCAATATACCGATGTAGAAAAAGCTTACGCATTCACGCAAAAGTTACCTGATGATCTTTACCTTAGACTAGAAGCAATATGCACTCTTACAGAATTTTGCAATCCATCAATCGTACTTGAGAGATTCAAACTATTACAGCCAGACAATTCGAATATAGCGTATCTAAAAGAAATTAGTGAAGCAGTACAAAAAATGAAACATTCAGTAATTGGGTAACCAGATTATGTTTGTTAAGTAATAAATGCAAATTTAGTAATTATAGTAGAGCAATAGAGAGAATAAAAATATTTTCAACCAATAAAGAAATACGTCAGAAAATTTAACATGTAGAAAGTTTAGATATTCATGAGATAATAAAAATAGGAAAGGAGATTGAGGAAGAAGAAGCTTATGACAAAATAATTAATAAAATTGATAATATAAAAATAGGAGACACAACTGAAATAAAACAAATAGAAATGCAGAAAGACAATTAAGCGGATACGGATAGAAGAATGATAAAATACGATGATCAAAATAGAGGGGTAGATGCACAGACGAATTACGTATATAGAAATCAATGGAGGCCTAGATACGACAGTTATCAAAGAAATAATTAT